TGTGGGGGACTCTTCCCCCCAGTTTTTGGAGTGGGGGGACGAATATCTAATTATCCCCTCCCCCACATTTTGACATGTTTAATGAAATTTTGTTTCTTGGTTATCTAAAAACCTAATACATGGTATACTATTCATCAAAAATTGTGATTGAAAGATAAGAAGTACAACGTATGATTTTTCTGTAATCGCTGGGAGCAAATACTGACATCGCATATGTTATGTAAAATTGTAAATAATTGCGTTTTAACTGAGTTTCCCTTACATAGATGATTATCATCAAAATAAGGCAAATGGTTAATTTAATAGATTATTAGCATTAAAATAAGGGTGAGGACGTGTTAGGCTTCGTCGAGAGTAACGTCTGTTCACAGGCTAGGACATGTTGGTTTTTAGTGGATTTCTCACATGGTTAAACATGGATTTAAGATCATGCACATTGTAATATAACTTTATAAGTGCCTCCAAAACGCTGGGAATGCCGTTTCCGTGTACCAAAATTATAGAAAAAAATTTCGAGTAGCATACCTCCGGACCTTCCTAGTTTGGAGTCCGTCCCCCCCCCCCCACTTTTTGGGATAGATTGACGCCCTTGCAATCAAATTATTACGATTCTAATCTTATTGTAGGGAGCTTAAGATCTTGACGACAAACTACCAAGATATCTATGCAAACTACCGACTACGCAGTGAAATAGTTTTTGTTATATACTAAATGCTTGTCACAGAACAAATTTATCCCAGATATGTTTAGTATGTGCATGGCTTTGTGTTCGGTAAGTTTCGTGTTTTAATTTTCATCATTTCTTGATAAAAAATACTATCCAACCTGAAACGTTGCGTAGTCATATTCGGCACTATAGCCTATGTTCTTGATTCTGTTTTACAACACTCTTATGTGACTTTTACGCTGTAGCCAAGGTCGGTACGGTGAAAAAATGCTCTGGGATATGTAAATTTTGTCTACCTCCGGTTAATTAAATCAATACGAAAACAAGCTTTCAACCGTATTCCGTACCCGTTGTTCGTTGTCGGCATCTTAAACTCCCAGTGTTAAATTATGTACGGTTTGTAGTTTAGGGACTGGTCATTAATAATGGGAGGGGGGGGGGGGGGGGGGGGGGGGGGGGAAAAGGGGGG